AGGTAGACTGTAAGAGCTGGAGCGTCGGGAGCCCGCCATGGTTATGTCTCTAGGTAATGTCACACATAGACCCCACATCCAACAACCGCATGTGACTTCATTTCTCAAGACCATGTGTGAGAAGGCAGAGGAACACGGACATACACGGACCATGCTCCACATCTTAAAGGAAGTCTTTGCAGGTATTTAAGACCCACACATCATGTTTCCTGAGCATAATGCGGTGGAGGTAAAAATAAGCAACAAAATTTTTCTTGGTTATTTTGAGAAGAGGTCTCACTATATAGCCTTGGCTGGCCTAAAACTGGCTAAGTAGACCAGGCTAGCCTTGAACCCAGAGGTCTTCTGCCTTTGGCTGGGATTAAAAGGCATGTGCCACCACACCCAACAACATTTTTTTATTTGTTTTGTTTTTTTTTGTTGTTGTTGTTTTTAATTTTCCGGAGCTGAGGACCGAACCCAGGGTCTTATGCTTGCCAGGCAAGCGCTCTACCACTGAGCTAAATCCCCAGCCATTTTTTTTTTTAATGTTTGAAAATTTTAAAACATGCTTTTGCTTTTGAACAAGTTCAAGTACAGGGAGCACTACAGGAATACCTACCGACCCGCAGGTGTGTGTGTGTGTTTTAACAAAAATTAAAATTAATGCGCTAACTCTAGGCATTAGAAAATGAATAGCACTGTTAAAAAGTAGAAGGACCTGAGTTCAATTCCCAGCACCCACATGGTAGCTCACAACCATCTGTAATGAGATCTGGCACCCTCTTCTGTGTACATAATAAATAAATAAAAAAAAAAAAGTAGAAGGACCAATAAAGAAAATGACAGAAATTCATTATATGAAAATCAGACACTATAACAATGCAGACCTTTGACAAAACTAAGGGACCTTATTTTACCTATTTTCAGACACTCTTGTCTACCTTAAGTATATAAAATAACATATAATTGGTGCTATCTAAGATTCCACAAATATAGTAGATCAGCCTAAGGTAAGTTTGATCCACAATAAAAACAAACAAACAAAAACAAGAGAAGGGCTCAAATAAACAATATTGTAAAGAAAACAAAAAAAATGTAGCTATGATCACAATAAAAGTTCTTTCATCGATGTGGCATGCAGGCACACGTTCACACACAAATTTTAATATCTAACTTAAGAAGCAGAAAACATACTAGACCTATGGACATAAGCAAAAATGGAAGAATCGTTAAATCTACCACAAAGAAAACACGAAGCTCATGTGATTTTACAGTCAAGTTCATTTCCAGAAAATGAACTAAAAAATGGAAAATTCCTTTTATGAGACTGGTATATCCTCAATACTAAAACCAGGCAATGACTATACAAGAAAGGAAAATATAAATCAATCATGGTCAAAACTATAAATGTATAAAGGAAAAGTCCTAAACAATTCAAATCCAGATACATGGGGCTTTTTTAATGAAGCCAATTTGGATTTATCCGTGTGATGATTAATAACCAGAAGGAAAAAAATTCTGTAATTTCATCACAGCACATTAATAAAAGAAGCAAGCCATGTGACCTTCTCTGAGGATACAGGAAAAGCATTCAATAAAATTTAACAACCACTCATGGTTTTAGAAAACACACAACCCTTAGCTAAGTGGGAAGAAACAGAGACTTTCCTGAGCCTGGGGGTGAGGACATATACTCAATAATCAAATGTTAGAAGCATTTTAAATTCAGAGAGACAGGGTGGCCATCATCACAACGTCCAGCTAACAGCATCCTGAAAACAGAAAATATGCAATGTTATCATCACTGGAGCAAGACTATCATGGCATGTTAACCAATTGTTTAAAATGAAAATCCCCAGGCTGGTTATACCACGACCGCTGCCATTTTGGAGCCTGATTTTAATGTTTTCGCTGGCTCTCTAGCCTGTGGTTTTAGTCTTCTGCTATGCCTTGAAACTTTTGTTGAAAGCCAGACATGATATATACTGGATACAAGAAACTGAGATAAATAGGTCACTCATGAGAGGTTTCATATTATCTGGTTGGGGGTTAGGCCCTATCCACTGTTGGCTGTGGCTGTAGGTATTAGAAACTAGAATGTCCTCTTGTGTCCTTGTTTCTGACTTCCGTTGGCTTTAGGTTTCTCTAATATAGGTCCTCTTACATAATGTTCGAGACACACAATTCCTTCAGTTATATCCTCTAATCCTACAAAGAGATCCAGGTGGCATAGTGATGAAGCACAGGGAAAGAAGAGGTCTGTTAGATTTACGATTAAGGGGCAGATGAAACGGCTCAGCAAGTAAAGAGCTTGCCTCCAAACCTGAGGACCTGAGTTCTACCCACATACCCCACGCTGTGGAAGGAGAGAACTGAGTCCAACAAGTTATCCTCTGACCTCCACAGGCAAGCCACAGGGTGAGAGTGCCCTCTACATACACACACACACACACACACACACACACACACACACAGACACACGCACACACACACACACACATGCACACGCACATGCACACATGCATGCATGCACACACACATAACTAAATGAACAAATAAATTTTTAAAAAAACTTATGGTTCGGTCTTAGGCTTTTAATGCGGCTGAACACCTGGGCTGTGGCCTTTACGAGGACTTGTTTTCTTTGTTGATGCCCTGTTCTACCCCTGTGAGAAAGGAAGGCTAGAGGCAGCAGGACTGGGTGTCTCTCTCTCCATCCTTCCCCTTGTAGAAACGCAGTGGGGACCAAGAGCAGTTCCTAGACCCCAGCATAGCCTTTAGGAAAGTCCTAACCGGTTAGACTCTGTAAAAACAGTTTCCCTTGAGGGGAAGAACAAAATGCTGTGGGTTTTCTCTAGTATTCACCATGAGAATGTGAATGTAGAAGGTTCTAGAAGTTAAAACTCAGGAAAGTGTAGAAGAGTCACCAAGACTGCACCGTTTGACACACTGAGCCCCCAACAACTCAAGTTCAGCCTCGATACTTCTACCCTAGTGGTGGTTCCTAAGGAAGCTTCTGTTTCTGGAGTTCTGTTATGGCAGGCTGTGATGTTCTCAGTCCTCTCGTTCAATTTAGAGGGCATTGGTTCATCCTGTGACCTCAGTTCTATGTTGGATTAATATATATTGTTATAACAATTCACATTCACATTAATTATCTTGATTGCATAATTATATAATTATAAAAATGTTCTGGTTAATCATGTTAATGATATAAATACAATAATTAATTGATATTGATATCTATTTATATATAGTTGATTTTCAGCTTGACCTTTCCTCTTATGGACTCAGGTGATAACTTCTTATTTTGCTTTATTTTACTTATTACAGACAGAGTCTCATGTAGCCCAGGCTTGCTATGTAGCCAGTGGTGACCTTGACTCAGATCCTCCATCTGAGTACTGGGATTATAGACAAGTGCCACCACATCTAGTTTATGTGGTGCCGGGGATCAGATCCCAGACTTCACGCATGCCATATATTCAACTCAGCTTCATCCCCAGCAAGGGTGACAATGTCTAGCCTTTCACAGCGGATCAGAAACCAGAAGACTCCAGTGAAACTGGCATTAGTAATAACTTATATAATTATCTATATAGAAAATCCGAGATGATCCACTATTGGAACTAAAAAGAGAGTTCAGTACAGTTTCTATATATAAATACATAAAATTTAACAGCATTATTATATACGAAGAACAAGCAAATGGGCCAGGCAGCGGTGGCTCACGCCTTTAGTCCCAGCACTCAAGAGGAAGAGGCAGGCAAATTTCCGTGAGTTCGAGGCCAGGCTGGAGTTCCAGGACAGCCAATGCTACACAGAAAAACTCTGTCTCAAAAAACCAAAAAAAAAAAAAAAAAAAAAAAAGAACAAGCAAATGAAAAATGCAGCTAATAAAATATTCTATTAACTGTAGAATGAAACCTCTAAGGTACCAATCTAACAAAAGGCAAAAAGTATGCATGAAAAATACAAAGACGATTTTTTAATATTTCCATTTATGCCTCGAGGATTTCATATGTGCATACAATGTATTTTAACATATCTGCCCCCACTGCCTCTCCAGCTCCCCCTAGCTTCACCCTACATGTCCCCTTCCCAACTTCATGTCTTCTTTTTTTTAAAAAGAACAGCCACCAAGTCCAATTAGCCAACTGTAGTAGGACGTGCTGCGTGTAATCCCTGCAGCTGGGAACTTATGGCAGGAGAATTGCAAATCTGTGGCCAGCATAGGTTATCTAGTAAACTCATGGCCAGCCTGAGCTACACAGACAGGTGCTGTTACAAAAAAAAACAAAACAAAAACAAGGCAGGGGATATAGTGTAGTGATAGAGTAATTGCCTACAACATGCAAGGGCCCCTGGCTTCAGTCCCCAACGCTACTGAATATCTCTGCAAATGTACTGAATATCTCTGCAAATGTACATACGCCTCCTAGGCCGCAACAGTTTCACTCTATAATAATCACCTTTTTCAATGTGCTTTTTAGCTGTTCTTCCAATGCAAAAAAGAAACAGTCGCTAACACTGTTAATACTTGAGCATAAAAAAAGGCCAGGCCACTAACTGATGTCTTCATTTTTGTATTCTTACTGTTCTTGCACCCAAAGCAAAATAACAACAATGACAATAATAATAATAATTCTGTTTTATAAATGAAGCAATAGAATTGTTAATAAATATTATTAGATCTCAGGAGTTGCCTTGAGTGCACCTCTTTTTAATATTAGGGTTAATGAAATGGGAAGCATGCCAAGGTTTGATAGTGGTCCTTCAAAGAAAAACGTTTGAGAGTTGTTTTGAACTATGAACTGAAGTTGCCACAATTTTTTTTTTTCAGGGCATACCATTTTCACTTGAAAGAAAGACTCACAAACCATGGTTATTCAGACTCGGGAATTTGGCAGGCATTTTCTTAAAAAAAAAAAAAAAATGAACAAAGTGAGCCCTGTTACTCGGGGATGGAGACCAGCTGCATCTGTTGCCAGCGATGAATGTTGAGCTTCCAGGCAAAACCCAGAATTTGGGGGAAGTTATGCCCGTCACCACAATCGTCACAATTTTTTTTTTTAAAATAACTTTGATTACCAAGTCAGAAGTGATATAAATAAGTGTGCACTCTGACACTGCATACTGAAACCTGTCGGCACTATAAGAGACACGTAGATCAGTGAGCTCATGTTTTCAAATGAGCGAGAAGGGCCAACAGGCTTATGTGGCAACACACAGGGATGTGTATGTGATTTCAGAGGCCACGTCCAGTTTCACCTTTAGAAACTGTTATCTATTGAATTTGGATTTAGACTCTTTGATGAAGACTATCCCGAATGATCTGAGACTAGTAGGGTTTGCCTCCCTTTCACAGCTACACATCTGGGTGACGCCTGTGTTTCTTCTGATACCCCAGGCAGAAGCATATTGCAACAGCCTGAATCCAAAGGCAGGTAAGAGAAGAGAAGAAGGTAAGTCTCTGCCATGGGGAAACTTGTAAAAAAAAATGCAGAACCATGCCCCTCTTCTCACCTTCCTGATATGGGAAATAGCTCTTTTTCATATAAAAACGTGCAATTTCTTATTGTTATTTGGTAATGAACTTTAAAATAGTTTTGTTTCTCCATTTCAATTCTGAATCAACAGACAGAATCTGTAATAAACAAAAGCTACTTGGCGTCTTTAATAATTTTGACAGTGTGAAAGGATCCCAGGAGAAAAACTTTGAGACTCTTTGCCCTAGAGATAAAAATCTCCCATCTGTCTCCCCAGGAGAAAGTGGGGGAAAAGCTATTCACGGCAGCAATGTTGATGATTCCTCCTCAAGAACGTACTACTGAATGTATGTCAATAAGAGAATGAGCAAATACCTTAAGTCATATCATAAAAATAGCTTTTGAAGTTAAAATGGATGTGCCTAGGTTTGCTTGGATTAATGTGGTTAATTCTGAGAAATAAAAAACTTGTTACAAAAGAACAGAAGGATACCACTTGTATACATTTCCAAACGCGAGAGTCTAACATTATTGCTTATGGATACACCCGTAAATGGTAAGGATACACACCTTTCATGGCAAATACCTGGGAAGATCCAAACCAACCTGGCTCAGGCAGATGGGTAAACCACTCGCTTCACACATGTGAGAACTGAATCAGATCCCCAGAACCCAAGCAAAGCTGGGTGGGTGTGGCTCCCACCTACAATCTGAGCTCAGAGGATGTGGGGACATCCTGGTTAGTCAACTGCGAGTTCCTAGTTCAGTGAGAGATACTGCCTCAATATAACAGGTGAAGAGCCATTGAAGACACTTGGTGTCGACCTCCAGTCTTCAACAAGTGCTCACACATCACCCACACATGTGTAAACATGCGTACACACGGGAACACAAGCATACCCCCCCCAAAAAAAATCCAAACCAACCACCTCAACATGGGAGTAGCCACTGAGGCCAGGGGAAGGAGGACACATTTCAAATGTATTCATGTAAACTCCTAAGAAGAATATATTAAATAAATGTAGCACGGAGTTAACATGAAGCTGATCTGAGGCCATAGGTATTGTTCTGTACTTTGTCAGTGTTTAAATACTCTAGCTTTAGAACAGCAACTTATTTTTTAAATGCTGTGCATTTGATCTCCTTTAGTAAAGAAAAGCCAGCTAACTAGATCCCAGTGAAATACATTTTTTTTCCCTATCCGGGGCCAAAGGGCCAGCTGTCCGGCATTTTGCCTGTTGTTTGTTGAGCCTAATAAACGATGGGCTAGTTGCGCCCGCGGAAAGAAGGCGGGGGGAGTCTTTTCTGTTTGCAAAGCTCTTGATCCTGGGCTCTCAGTCATGGCTGCAGAGGAAATTCTCCCCCAGATTTCTTACAGGACCCCTGCAGCTGTCAGGCAGGGCATGAAGCCAGAATACCCAGGGAGCAACTCGAACAGGCCCCAATGTAGTTCCCCGCTCGGTGCAGAACTCCCAACACAAAGTATCCTGTTCCCGTTCCTTTTGAAGCCAGAGAGAAGTCTTTGATTTATGTGGTGATGATATCATGTAGCCTGCTGGGTGTAGCTGGGCTCTGGGCGCACAGCTGAGAGGCAACTAATTCCCCCAGCACTCCCGAGTCTCCTGGGCCCATTGGGTGATTTCAGAATAAAGCAGAGATTATTATAGATATAGATGCATATATTGCCTTTAAATCCATGCATTCCACCTAGAAGCCCCTCTGCTTCCTGTTTTCCAAGGTTTTTTTTTTCTTTTTCTTTTTAAATTGCAAATACCCTGAGCAATAATTTTTTTCAGACTTCGTGGACTCTGATAAGGAAGAAAGAGCCTGATATTCTGGTTTTGTTTGTTTGAGGAGTGTGTGCCCAGAGGAATTGTATGTGTCCCAGATTCAACACAGCTGTTAATTAGACCTGAGAACACTTGGTTGACCCCTATGTGGCTAATTGCTAGAATTGAGAAGCGTCTCTAAGGGCCTCGTATGATAACAACTGAAAATTGTACTGAGCCTCACCTAACGCTTCTGGAGCCGGTTCAGGACGGGAAGCAATGGGCTCCCCGCAGCTCCTGGCACTGGAGAGGCGGCCCTGTGCTGAAGGAGCACTATTAAGGATTCTCTTCAGTGATTAAAACACCCACATTTCACTTTAGATGGGCGGCTTGAGACGGTGTGGTAGGAGAGGCTGGCGGGAGCGCTCAGAACTGTGCAGTGAAGCGTGTGTGGCCTACTTCCTAACTTTGGGGGGCTTTCGGCTGCTCCCTAATATTGCAGCCAGCACCGGCACCAGCACCACCGGCCCTTCCCAGGCTCTTCCTGTGCCACACGGGTGTGGGATATTCCTGTCAGGGCCCTGCACTGCTTCTAAACGAGCGACTTGATGGAAGCCTTCGGTTACCCACACCTTGTGATTGTAATAATGCCCAGCTCTCAAAACGGGGGTTGGGTGGGGGGTGTGTGTGTGTGTAGAAATCATCTATCTTACCACCGGGGTCCCAAAGTGACCATCAGCCCCTGTTCCCTGTCTGCTCTCCGAGGAGATAACAAAAAAAAAAAAAAAAAAAAAAAAAAAGGAAATAACCAGAATCAGAAAGGCAGGGTGAGAGCCAGAGCTGGGTGGGCCAGAAGAGGAGGGAAAGTAAAGCCGAACGTCAAAAGACTGCCAGGGACGATGGCCAGAGAGAGGAGAATGGGGACAGCGAGGTGGAGAGAGGGGGAGGAGCCGGGTGGACGCGGGCAGATGAGACCTGCCAAACAGAGGGGGGGGGGGGGCGGCACTTGCTCCTTTCTCCCCTGTTTCTGGGGGACAGAAAAGCAACAGGGACTGTTTGGATCTCCTCAGCCAAGAGGCCCAGCGTATACCCAGATCGTACTCCGGCCGACTTCACTCCCCTAGCCTAGCCTGGCCCGAGGAAGGTGTGCTGGAGCCAGCTCGTAAGGAGAGATGTATGATCCTTTTTCCAGGAGAGGTTCAAACCGTGAGTCCAATTCCAGGAAGTGATAGCAACAGAAAGGCAACCCAGAGAGACAGCCTTGCCCAGGGCCAGGTTGGGGAGAGACCCAAGGGAGTTGGAGGAAAAGGAATCGATTTCATCGTCTCTGAGAGCCAAGATAGGTTGTCAAGGGCACCCTGTTCCAGAAACAACTGGGAACTTCTACTGGTGTTTTGTGGTTGTGGAGAATCAAACTCATGCATGCTAGGTAAACACTGTTACCGAGCTCTGGGCTCAGCCTATTCTGCAGGGTCTCAAGTCTTTAACTGGACCTATCGCCCTCCTTCCAACAATGCTTCTCACTGATAAATGCGTGTGGAGCCCCCTTGAGGGCCTGGGTTGTGTTCAACAAGAGTAGGGGGAATGGAGACAGCAAGTATAGCTGCAGACTGCAGGCAAATGCCCCGGGGAAGAAAAATCAAGCATGCAAAGAATCACAGGGTGCAGCCAGTAGAGCGCGAACTTCCCAGGTAAATGGTACAACACCGTCTGTAGAAACGAAATGGGATCGATGAGGGCTGAAGTCGCCAAGGAGACTACATGCAAGCCCCCGGTTTTAAAAAGTGGAGGCTGCAGGCAAACATGCAGACATGCTTTTCTTGGATAAATTGGTGGGGCTGATCTCTCTCACGTGGAGGTTCACAAGCCACAGTCCTTGACCATCAGAAATGTACACGAGGCGTGGGACGTTGAAACTGTTCCTAGAAGTTCTCCTAATGGCTCCGAGAGCATCCTGTCAACCCCCACCGCTCCGGGGCCTTGTGTGTGATAGGCAGGTGCTCTATCACTGAGCTGCATCCCCGGCCCACTCACAGGGCTTGGAAGGAAGGATTTTTATTCTCAAAATAGGAAAACACTTAATTTTATTTATTGTAGGCTCCTGCGTTACACTTGAAAAAAATGAGTTCCAAAGAGGTCAGTGGACCAGCATAAGATCAACTGTAAGTCAAGACTAGAATTAGACTTACTATTCTCCAGTGGAGTTCCCATTTCCACCGATAGAGGTTTTTTTCACATTTATTTATTTGTTTGTTTTGCAATGCTGGGGATTGAGCCCATGTATGGAATCATAACTCCCTATAATAGAAATCTATACTTTTGGGGTTGTTTTTTTCTTTTGGTTGGGGGAGGTGTGGCAGATTCTTTTTGTAGCCAAGGCTGGCCTCAAACTCACTATGCAGACAAGGATGATCTTGAATTCCTGATCCTTTTGTCCCCAACTCACAATTATAGCCATATGCATCTGGTGTTAAAAAGAATAATTTTATTTTTATTTTTCCATTTTCATGTGTGTGTGATGTATGTGCACGCTGTATGTATGGGTGCAAGTGTGTGTGTGTGTGTGTGTGTGTGTGTGTGTGTGTGTGTGTGTAGGTGTGAGTGTATGTGCATATGTACCTGTATACATGTAAATGTAGTGGCTAAACCGGGTTTGGTGAAAGAATCCATCCCGATGCAGGGCAGTGGTGGCACACGCCTTTAATCCCAGCACTGGGAGGCAGAGGCAGGCGGATCATTGTGAGTTCAAGGCCAGCCTGGTCTACAGAGCGAGATCCAGGAAAGGCACAAAGCTACACAGAGAAACCCTGTCTCAAAAAATCAAAAAAAAAAAAAAAAAAATGTGGTGGCTATAGGTTGATGTTGGTAATTATTCTTGATCTCTCTTCCACTGTATTCACTGAAGCAAAGTCTTTCAATCAAACCTGGAGCTCACCGATATGGCTAGTCTTGATAGCCAACTTACCCTGGGCAAATTACCAAGGCTGGAATTACTCATAGGCTGCTATGCTTACCTGGCATTGTATATGGGTTCTGGGGATTTGAACTCTGGTCCTTACATTTGCATAACAAACGTTTTAACCATTGAGCCCTGAATCCAGGCCCAAATAATAATTTTAAAGACTTTGTTCCTTATAATAAATGTTTGAGCATAGAAGTATTTGAGCAGAAATACTGCTGGATGGGTGG